CCAGACACATTCTGCTGCTTCTCAAACATGTATCGCCTTGCACCCCACTCCATGAGACACCCCGACAGGCACACAGGTGTGTGCAGAGCAGAGCCGGCGTGCTGGACACCCCTGTGAGCACAGCTGCAACCAGCTGAGGAAACACCTAGGATGACTGGACGGGCCTTGCCGGTGGACACAGGAGGACCCAAGGCACATCTCAGAGACCGCCTCTGTCCCTGAAGGCCGGGAGGTGTCCTGCGAGCTCCGCAGATCCGGGGCAGCCAGAGGCTGGCGGGTCAGGCCGTCACGGGCCGGCCACCCCTGACGTGGCGGGGACAGGGCGCAGACCCGGCTGGCTCAGTCAGGGGTTCAAGCGGAGGGGCCACACGGACTGGGAGACCCTGGGCAGTGCTCTTGCCACTTGTGCCTCAGTTTCCACACGTGGGCTAGGCGCCAAGCCTCAGAGCTCCCTCGGGCAGGCGGAGCAGCCACTGCCTGAGGGAGAAGCTGGCGGCGCCGGCGCTTGCCTGGTCTGCTGGCCAGGGAGCCCGCGCCCATGCCACGTCCAGCGGCCACCGTTGCCTTCTCCACTGCCCCGACACCTTGGCCACAGCACACCCCAGAACCCTGCCTGCGGGAGGATGAATGGTGGGGGCCCCGGGAAGAACAGCCGTTTCCCGGAGATCAGCCATCACTGACCACTCAGCTTGAAGCCGAAGCTGGAGCGCTCAAGTCTAGGGATTCGCAGGACTTGCCCTGGAAGCCCAGTCTCCTCAGGACACCGCACGGCCGCCCAGAGGGGACACAGGCCACTGGGCCAGAGACCCCATCTGCCTGCGTCTCCGAGGGGCCAGCTGAGGGCGTGCCTGGCACCCCAACCAGTGCCCTCCGCCCAGGGCGGACAGACACCACCGGCTGGGCGCTGGATCAGGGTGCCGTGCCTCCGCAGTGTCACCTCACCCCTACTCAGCCGTCGTCACATCAGTGGCCACAGCAGCCCACAGCTCAGCCCGGTCATCTCAGTCTCTCCCTCCACTCCCGCACCTTCTGGTGTCCGCAGTGTTACAGGACGTGTGTAAATAGCCACACCCCGACTCATGCAGCCATCTGTTGGCGGAAGGAAGCGTGGACCCCGCGTGTCACATGCGCCTTTAATAAACGGGGCTACTGAACTGCTGCCCACGCTGTCTGCAGCGCCACCTCCAGCGGTCACACCAGATGGGGGTGGATGGGAACGGGCTTCTCAGCCTTCCACCTGGGCCTGGGTCAGGCGAGACCCCACGTCGTGGCCAGGGTGGGCAGCGGTGGGGGCGAGACCAGTGTGGGGGGCGGAGGGGCAGAAAGAGCAGTTGGCAGGGCAGCCAGGGATGGATTTTACCCAGGTCCCCAGGCGGGACTCCCATGACGGGCCCAGCCTCAGGGTCACTTCTCGCTGGCCAACAGCTTCCTCGGGACCTGTCTTTAGGCCTTTTCAAGAGCCTCACCTGCCCCCCTCCCGAGGACAAGGCGAGGCCTCCAGGACAAGGCGGTCAGGGGCTCGGGGCAGCTGGCTGGTCAGTCTTTTCTCCCAATCGAGTCAGATACAGCGCGGGGGCTGACAAGCTTCCATCAGACCTGGCCCCGCCTGAGGGGGCGCCCAGGCCTCCGGCCAGGAAGCCCGATGCCCTGCGGGCGGCTCCTGCACACGGAGTGATCACTCCTCGGGGGCCCTGCGGTGAAGGAGGGGAGAGAACCCCCATCCTGATCCAGAACTTCGGTGGCTGCAGCTCAGAGATGTGTGGGCTGGCAGGGCGGGTCGTGTCAGCTTAATGGGGTAACACGGCCAAGTAGGAAGACTGGGAGAAGGGACCTTTCTGGGTCCTGGGGTCCCTGCAGAGTCGAGTCTGCGATCAGGGAGAGAAAGCCCGGGGGCGAGCAGCACCCCGGGAGCTGGCGCGCCCATCACAGCCACGTCTCCCTGCTGCCACTCGCACCCAGGCAGGCTCTGGCCCGGGTCCCCGGGTATCAGGTGTGTCCAAGCCGAGGAGCAGGGCCTCGGCCTGCTTCCGGAAGCCAGGGCCAGGTCAGCAGTCACGGGAGGCTGAGGCCCTACTGTGGGGTGTGCGTTCAGCACGCATTTGGTCAGCTCAGCCGGAGGCCGCCTGCGTGCCTGCCAGCGCCACCTGCTTCACCTGGCCGATGGCGTGCTCCAGCTCCTCGCCGGCTTCCCGCAGGTCCTTGCACTTCTGCTTCAAGCTGACACCTGCCTGCTGCAGCTGCTGGTTGGTGGCCACGTAGGTCTGGCTCTGCTGGTAGAACTGCTCTCCCTGGGCGTCCTCAGCCTGCCAGGATGGGCCTGAGTTGTCTAGGACAGGACATGGCACCGTCACTGACCACCAGCAGGGGCGGGGAGCGGACTCCAGCCTCTGTAACCTAACAGCCCCCCCCCCCCAAAGGATGTGAAGGCAGGGAGAGGTGATAGAAAAGGCCTGACACCCATGGTCAGGGCCCTACCATGGTCAGGGCTCTGCCTGGCCACCTGGCCAGAAGGGAGTCACAGAATAGGGTGGTTCTCACCCCCTCCGAATTCGAGGTGTGCACTTCCACCCCCGAAACCAATCCCTCACTTCCGCTCCTCTTCTGAGCTGCTCCCACCTCAAAATGCCAGTGGAGCTGATGACCCAGCTGTGTGTGGGCAGAGACAGCTGGTCTTCCTCGGGCTGCCCTGTCCGATAGAATGTTCCAGTGTGGGAAATGCCCTTTATCTGAGCTGCCCAACACAGCAGCGGTCACGGCAGCTCCTAAGCCTCTGAAACGTGGCTGGACGGAGCAAGGAACCGAAGGTTTTATAGTTTTACGTTAAAAACTCCCTACCTCCTAGTTCTCTGAAACCCAAAACCAGAGCTGGGCATCACAGAAGGGAGAACAACAGCTCAGGATCACAGATGAACACGTGTGAAAAGTCTCAGCACCAGCAGACAGAACCCAACAACCCGTCACGCGGACCCCACGCCTACCCAGAGGGTCACTCTGAGACGCAAGGTGACCTCACGGACCCCGTCGAAGGACGAGCCACCAAGAAAAGGTAAAAACCGCATGAAAAACCCACGACAGAATCGAGAGAGCGGAGAAAGCATCTGCTAACACCCAGCACCATTTGTACTAAAAACTGAACAAAATGAGAACGAGGAAGACCCTCAGCGGACTGGGGTCCGGCTGCTATAGACTCAGAAGTGGGAAACAGGAAGCTCGCCCTTCCCTCTCAGGCCGGGAACAAGCCCAGGGTGCCCATACGAGGAATTAATCAAAAAGGTGAAGATGTTATTAATTTATTAAGTTTTTAAGTTCGGTCTAGACAACTTTCCAAAATGGCCCCACCGACTGCACGCCCAGCCTGCGAAGGCTTCCTCCCCCCCCCCCATCCTGCCTTCACCCTCCTGCTGGTCCACAGACACGTGTGAACTGTCTCTTCTCCTGCCTGCTTAGAAGAGCTGGGGCACAGGCCCAAGGTGTGGTGGGGAGGACACCCCAGAGACAGCGGGGAGCAGAACAGGGGGCCCACTGGCATGCACTGCCGAGGGGCAGGGGTCTGGCGGGCGAGCCCGCGGGCTCAAACTCAGGGAGGCCCCGCAAGGTGCTGTATGAGAGCTCTGCGGGCTGGCAATTCTGTCCTTTTGTCCACTTCTGCCCCTCTGGGCTTAGAACAGCCCCGGGCGAGGCTAGTGGAAGGTTGGCGGACCGGCGATCTGCTTCCTCCAAGCAGGGGTGGACAACGTGAACCAAGTCCAGAGTCAGCCTGCCTGTCCAGCCTGCTTCATTAGGCCACTGCGCCCCCAGGCAGTCACGACCACGGTAAGGGGGGGCCAGCGCCAATACAAGTGGCCCAGGGACGCTGGAATCTGATTTTCACCTCTCACTTCCCAAATTCAAACTACGCTGAACTGACCCAGGCCTTTAAAGCAGGCAGGGGGCTGAGGCCCTGGCTTGCCAACGGCTGTCCTTAGACACTCCCCTGAAGACACGTCTCACTTTACAGAGGAAAAGGGGCTCAGAGACCATCAGGGTCCCGCCCAGGGTCTGTGCCCCGAATTCCACCAGTCCTGCTAATCCAGCTGGGTGCACTGGCCCTGAAGCAGCAGGGAGGGATGCGCTTCCTCCGCCCCTCAGCCGGGGCCCTGGAGTGGCCTCTCCCTGCCCCCCACACCTGGAGTGGCCTCTCCCCTGTGCCCCACACCCAGAGTGGCCTCTCCCCTGTGCCCCACACCCAGAGTGGCCTCTCCCCTGTGCCCCACACCCGGAGTGGCCTCTCCCCTGCCCCCCACACCCGGAGTGGCCTCTCCCCTGCCCCCCACACCTGGAGTGGCCTCCCCCCTGCACCCACACCTGGAGTGGCCTCTCCCCTGCACCCCACCTCTCCCCTG